ATTTTTCAGGAGCCATCACGTCGTACAGAACAATCACTGGCTTCGCCCTTTTCGAAACTGGGCATGCTCAGACCCTGAAGGGGCGTGGCGACTTTGATTGTTTGGTCTGATTGGGCTAGAGGACAATTAACACCCACACGTGGAGTCTACATTCCTCTTTGCTGAGAAAAGGCGTTCAGGTAAGACAACGCCCCTTCAAGACTATTTTAAAACTTTACACTTGTTGTTTTTGAGGCAATGTAACTCCATCCAAACATAAGAAACATCAGATTCTCCAGATCATAGTATATCATATCAGAATAAACACCTCAGTTTGCTTGGATTGTTTTCATTTTATAATCTCTTGTCAGGCTCATTACTGTTTAAAATAGATGGATAGATAGATAGATAGATAGATAGATAGATAGATAGATAGATAGATAGATAGCGCACCATTATCTTAAAACAAGGGTCTGAAAAAATAGATTTATATATAGTAGCATATTGACAAATATTCCTGGATCAAAAATACAAACAAGCCAGTTGGGCTGTGCCCAGTGGTGCCATTCAACAGGCAGAAGCTGATTAACCAGTGTAATTCTAGAATCATACAGGTGGAAGAGCTCAAATAATCCATTGAGCCCAACTTATTCTCGGTGCAAAAGTCCAAATTAAAATGTCCCCAGTAGACTGTTGTTAACCTTCCGCTAGATAACTACCAACTTTCTGTAAATTTCTTTTGACAAATTGTGTATTTGTGTAATTGTTTCCTCAAGAAATTTTAACTGAGCATGATTTCCTTATGCAAATATCAAGCATCTAAAGACGATTCTTTCAACATTCTGCTCTTTTAAAATCTCAATTTTCTGTAAATTATGTTTTGATAAGGAACAGGTGAGTCTCCTTAAAAGAAAGCACTTTCAAAAGAACATTGCAAGACAGATATTCAAATCTATGTACTTTCAAACACATATATCAAGAATACATTTATTCTGCTTTATAGTACTGTGCTTGACTTAATTTAATTTAATTTAATTTAGCTCAAGGCAGGGTCAAACTCATGTTTATCTTCCAAGCATAGAGAGAGACGGTTTGACTTATTTTGATCTAATTAATTTTCACATTGTTATAGTGTATAAGTGAATCCACTCAGATATTTCATCAAGTTTTTTCTTAAAGTATCCATCTGTGAAGTCTAATGGACCTGCTCTGCTATGGGTAACATCTACCATCATAATTAGGGTTACTACATTTGGGAGCAAAAATCCAGATAATTACTAGATGTGGGAAAGAATCAGATTTTTCTTTACATCTTGGCTGCCCTGTTATTGGTGGTCTGAATTTCTGCAACCCGATTATAATATTCCTACACATGAATCCATTCTTGTCTCACATATGTTCACTTTATATAAGAAGAGTATGTACACAATCTCCTGTTGAACTTTAGACAAGACAGCTGTGGATGTAAGCCATTTTATAATAACAACCTAATTTTGGAAATTTTAGGGGAAAAAGTTAATTATACAGTAATACCTTAAGTTGGCAGAAAAAGCCTGTCGAATGTTAAGATACTGATTGAAATAACATTCAGTACTAAAATTTGAAAATACTTTGTCTATTTTGCTTATTAGAATAAATATATGTGTTGCCTTTCCATTTGAATCAGCTTGGGTAACAATATCTCATAAGATATTTCTGTGCTTTAATATTAAAATATTAAAAATATTAAATTATAAAGGTTGGTAATGATATGTTATCTGTTTTGTGTGAACACAGTGTATTTCCATTCCCTCAAAACATCTTAGTTATGTATGAGAACTATTTTCTGTGACAAAAATTTACTCCATTCTTTTCTTTGTGCTTTAGAGTGGTCACGTGTTAGAGCGAAATGCTTCTGCTGGAAGCACAGACTTGATTATTGGGAAACAATTGTTAGAAAATGAGCCAGTCATTGTATCTAAAGTAAGTAAAGTCTTGGTCCCTCCAAAAGTAAGTGGTTGCAGAACGTATTTAATAATTGGATGTGTTCAATAAGGCTATGCAAATCATTTGTTTGCAGCAACACTATAAGCCAACTGCCACTCCTCAAAGCACTGAAATGGTTGCATTAAATCAGGGGTCTTCAAACTTGGCCCTTTTATGACTTGTGGACTTCAACTCCCAGAATTCCTCAGCCAGGCACTCTTATATTTAATCAACTATTTTTTGAAAAAAAATCCACTAATTAAAGGACTTTTATTTGAAATGGACCTTGCATGTGCCTTCTCTGGTCAATTTTAATTATACCAATTCACTCTAAGGAATCTAATACAGGTGGCCCTCGACTTTCAACAGTTCATTTAGTGACCGTTTGAAGTTACAATAGCACTGAAAAAAGTGATTTATGACTATTTTTCACACTTAACGATTGTTGCAGCATCCCCATGGTCATGTAATCAAAATTTGGTCTCTTGGCAACTGGGTCATATTTATGACGATTGCAGTGTCCTGGGGTCATGTGATCACCTTTTGTAACCTGACAAGCAAAGTCAATAGAGAAGCCAGATTCACTTAACAACAGTGTTACTAATGTAACAGTTATAGTGATTCACTTTGCAATGGTTGCTAGAAAAGTTGTAAAATGGGGCAAAACTCATCTAACTGCCTTGCTTAACAAAAAAAGAAAATTGGGCCCAATTGCGGCCATAATTCGAGGACTACTTGTATCCTTTTTATCCTCCCCATCTTCCCCACCTTGAATCATCACTGCTGGGTTTCATAACTGTAGAGGTTGCTCAGCCCTATGCTGAAAGTGTGAAACCTTGGAGAAAATTATAAAGATACAATATCCTACAGCTTCTTGAAACACGTGTTTCTCATCTGCATTATGAGAAAGAAAGATTGTATTAAGAAACAGATTTTTAAAATTAAAAATTATTCTAGTAATTGAAAATAAATAAATAAAAATGTCTGCAAGTGCTGCATATAATGAAAACACAGTACATCTGTTGTCATAAATTCTGGCACATGAAAAAAACAAATGAATACTATCAGTGCATTTTCTTCCTGGCAAAAGAACAAAGGCGAATCATATGAAACTAAGCAAACTGCAAGAAAAGATGTTGAAACTCTAGAGTACAGAGAAGAGCAACAAAGGTGATCAGGGGACTAGAGGCTAAAACATATAAGGAACGGTTACTGGAATTGGGTATGTCTAGTCCACGGGTAGGCAACCTCGGCTCTTTTATGACTCACGGACTTCAACTCCCAGAATTCCTGAGCCAGCATGGCTCAGCTTGGAAACCTCTCTCTTTCCCCTCAGCATGGCTGGCTCAGGAATTCTGGGAGTTGAAGTCTGTGAGTCATAAAAGAGCCGAGGTTGCCTACCTCTAGTCTAGTCTAATGAAGAGAAGGACGTGGGGTGACATGATAGCGGTGTCCCAATATCTCAGGGGTTGCCGCAAAGAAGAGGGAGTCAAGCTATTCTCCAAAGCGCCTGAAGGCAGGACAAGAAGCAACGGATGGAAACTAATCAAGGAGAGAAGCAACCTAGAACTAAGGAGAGATTTCCTTAGTTAGAACAATTAATCAGTGGAACAACCTGCCTCCAGAAGCGGTGAATGCTCCAACACTGGAAGTTTTTAAGAAGAGACTGGACAACCATTTGTCTGAAATGGTATAGGATTTCTTGCCTGAGCAGGGGGTTGGACTAGATGATCTCCAAGGTCCCTTCCAACTTTATTATTATTATTATTATTATTATTATATAGAAATCATACAGGTAGCCCTTGAATTACAACGGTAGTTGGGACCTGATTGTTAAACAGTCCGCTCATAAAGCATGACATCACGGTGACCACATTCCATAGTGACGGCAATCACGGCAGGCCCTGTTGCTGTTATTAACATAATCCCACCAATCATTAAGTGAGAACCCATCCTGATTGGTACCCTTTGTAGCTTTGTCCTTTCCAGCTCAGATCCTCGACGAGTTAATTGATTGCTTTGATTGTTTTGAAGTTAAACAGCACTGAAAGAAGTAACTTATGATTGCTTTTCACACTTACGACCTTGCAGCCTCCCCATGGTCGTGTGATCGAAATTCAGACACTTGGCAACTGACTCATATTTATGACGATTGCAGTGTCCCTGGTTCATGTGATCAAAGTCAGTGGGAAAGCCAGATTCACTTAACAAATACTAATTTATCAACTGCAGTAATTTGCTTAACAAATGTGACAAGGAAGGTTGTAAAATGGGGCAAAACTCACTTAACAAATGCCTCACTTAGCAACAGAAATTTAGGGCTCAATTTTGGTTGTGAGTTGAGGACTACCTGTATGGGATTTTGAGAATAATTTTGTATATAAATACTGCAAGGTACATCATGATTTTTTTTTTTTTACTGAAGGCTCAGTTCAACATAACACAGTCCTTTAATGTATCCCTATATTACATCAGTAATGCATAGAAGTGCTGTTTACACGTCTCTGTTCTATTATAAAAAAACTTAAGGGACCAAGCATGATGAGTAGCGTGATTTTGATTGTTATTGCTATGCAGAATGCTGCAAATCACCCCTCGTCATTTGTTTCCAATAAAAGAACATGTTTACAATTTGAAATATTGCTTCTAGAATTATTGTGCCTTGATGTACCTAGTTATTATGCTAGGGCTAGGTGCTTCATTTGCAAATGGATGACATCTTTGCTTGCTACAACTTCAGATATGTATATACAAACCAGATTTCTTCCAAACATTTTTTTGGAAAAGAACCCAAATAGAACTAAGGAGATTTTAGCCATGATTAATTATGAATGGAATAAGATACCCCCAAAACTGGTACTTCCTAGGAGTTACCAGTTATATAGTTTAACCTTATACTTCCCTTAGTAATTTCCATAGCATAGAGTTCTGAAACATTTATATTCTCAGTGTGGTTTATGTACTATCCAGTTTCCTTTTTATTTGCTAACTAAAGGCAGTCTAATTGAATTCAGTGGAATAGATTTTATGTAACTGTGTACTGGGTTGCCAAAACAACTTGAATAATAGGCGCCACAAAAGTGAAATTTTGATCTGTTTGGTTCTGTTCCCTCCCCTTCTTCCCCCTTTACTCAGGAGCCAGACAACTGGGAAATTATAGAAGGCTTGAAAATTGGCCAGACTAATGTCCAGAAGCCAGACAAACATGAAGGATTCATGCTGAAGAAAAGGAAATGGCCTTTAAAAGGCTGGCACAAGGTAAAATAGGTGGAAAACATGTTAGGTGCCATTATTTTCAATTATCACACAAAATTCATCATGAACTGTAGCAAATTGAACTCTCTTCAGAAACTGATGAGCAGTTGTTGAACCATGCCTACCTCTTTAGTCCCTGACCTTGAATTGAATGGCAGAATCTGAAGGAGGCTTTCACGTCTTTCTTTGTTTTGCACTCATGTAATATGTTGAATTTTCTCAGCATTCAAGTGAACATGATTAAACCTTCCTGCAGGGCTAAAAACAAGCAGCATGTGATCATATACCCTTTAAAGAGGTTTAACTGCCTCAACGTATAGATGTATTATTCAATTATAGACATACCCAAAGAGAGAAAAAACGGGAGATAAAATAGACTGCAATATAAATTGTATTCTCTGTATGAAGGCATATGCAAGTCACAGTAAAGTATATTACTTGTATGGAATAGAAAATACCAAATGCAATGGCTAAACAGACTTATTTGATTAAAGAAAAAAACTGTATCTACATTTAGCGGTGACTGGAAACCCTTTGTGGACTTGTGATTTGTAGTTTTGATGATTAGAAAGGATAGACTATAGAAAGAAGAGAGCAATGAAGTAATCTTAGAGAGAGAGGTTGAATTATAATTGTATTTATACCTGCTGAGAAGACGATTGAAAGTCACTTCTTTATATCTTTCTTAATATCCTCTTTTTCCCACTTTCCTTTTTTCCTTTACCTTCCTCTTACCTTTTTTTGGTATTTTTACTTTTTTTAAAATCTCTTTTTTTCTTTCTTTCTTTTAGTTTGTATTAGTTCTTACTATTCTTCTTAAAACTCAATAATGTCTGTCTGTCTGTCATATCAAATGTTGGTTTGATTATTGTGAAAGTAATTGTTCAGACTTCAGTTATTGAACAAAGTGATGATGCAGGGATATGAAACTGGGTAAATTTTTGATGTTTAAGAAAGTTAAGAATTTTTCTGAGATTGGAGAAGCATATGACAGGAATGGTTCTTATAAAAAGTGTATCAATTTGACTTTGTGTCTTTTAATTCTTATCCCAAATGCAAAGACTTGCAGGAAATCAGGAAAGAGTTCTGCCAAGTAAACATGCTTAACATCCTAGCCTTCAGAAACCTAATTCTAGGCAAGCTTTCAGGCGTAGTAATTCAGTAGGGTTATTGACATTGCCCCATGAATGCCTTGATTCAATTCTGTCAAATAAAGCAGATTCACTTTCAGAAATTCAGACAGGCCCCTTATCGGTATAAGCTGCAGAATCTTGCTGCTTTTGTCAGAATGATGAAAGCACTATTGCATCCAAAGCTCTTCTTTTTTGAGGCATCCTTGTTACATCACAGTGCACATAGACAGGGGCAGGGTTTGCATCAAATGCTGCAGTGCTGCTTGTGTCAGTCTGATTCTGTCATGGTCTATTGGGATGACCTTGGGAAGCAGGAGAAAGAGCTGCAGGCTGGATAATTGTCATGCCAAAGTATCTCAGTCCATAGGAGGAAAAGGAGTGTAGGAAGGCATCTCAGGAAGGCACCCGCCCAAGTTTTCTAGAAAGAAAAAAATAAAATGATGTGAGAGGTGCTTTCAGGCTTGCAAGATTTTATTTCTATAACCTTACAGTAAAGGTAGCGTTAGTATTAGTTTGTGCTTCTTGCCTAGACTAGTTTGAAGGGCTTATAGATCCTTCTTTTCTCTGCTCCTTATTCAGTAGGACTACATAGGTTCTGTTTTTTAACCTTTTCCGAAAATACTTTGTTCCAGTATGATCCTGTAAGCTATTTATAAAAAAAAGTGATGGGTTGTATTGCCATATACCATAGCTCAATTCACAAAGCAACTTTAATGATTTAGCTTTAGGATTGAGTGATTGATTATGTTCCATCAAGTTGGTGTGGACCAACCACATAGCTAGGAATACCTACCCCTAGCTTGGTCCTTCATTTATTGTAATGATGTTTATTGCTGCATGCAATGTGTTTATGTCTTCATTAATAGTTTTATATATTCTCCACTGCATTGTGATCTACATTTTTTTTCTGCAGCGCTTTTTTGTTCTGGACAATGGAATGTTGAAATATTCAAAGTCACCAATTGATGTAAGTAACTCTTGGGGCCTTTAAAAGAAAAATGAACGTTACATATTATTTGGGTGCTTAGTTCCAGTAAGGATGCAGATATTCCTGTACTGCAGAGAAAAGGTACAAATCCTCCCATTCAATTCAAATTTTCCCCCCATCCTCCTCCTTTTTTCTCAAACATTCTGGATTTTTCAGTTTTATAATTTGCCAGATTTTATTTGTGGCAATTAGATAATTTTTAACCTGCTGGGTTGTTCGTGTCTCTGAGCTTGATTGTTTTCCAGCAGTTATTTCATCACCTTGAGATGAAATCTTATTCCTGTGGTTTCTCCCTACATCAGGGAACAAAGCACACTCCAACTAAGATTGACAGGGTAAACTCCTGTTTATAATGAGCCAGCAAACTCCGCCCTCTGGCTCTTAAATTATTAAGATTTAAAACCAAAAGCACATCAGCTTCTTGCCTTAATGCTACTACTTTGAAACTTTACTTTGGTCAGATCAGTGTTCTGCCTTTTGCAATATTATTTGATAGATCACATCAGTGCACCGATTATGCAGCACCTGAGTCTTATAGGTCAAATGCCTTGGAAACTCTGTATGTGCCATTTGCTGCTCAGTGAACTACAAAATACAGCAAACCCTCAATTTTACAGAATAATAGAGGGGAAGGGATGATTGTTAGATCTGAATAACCATTAAATCGCAAAGGGAATACATAAAACAGTAAATGAATTTTCTCCATTGCTTTCATGAACCAATTTTTCATGAAGATGGGTAAATCAAGGGTTTACTGTAATAATAAGTAGTTAGAGATTTTAAATTGTAACTTTGTTTTACTTTAATTATAAGTTGGTTGTAGACCATAACAAAACATTTATTTTTACTATAATAATTGTATTATAATTCCATATACATTGGAAAAAATCTAGCCAAGTTTAGAAAAATATTAGAATAATAAATATTTATTGCTGAAACTACATAATATAGCAACTTAAAATATCCCTGTTAATAAACAGCAATATAAAACAAACAAGGCCTATAGCATTGTAGATTTAAATATGAATTTAATTTAGTTTTTGTTGCAACTTTAGAACTCCGTAATTGTTTTAGATTATATATCTATATATGTTAGAATTAAGTACATTCTGTTACTTATTTTATAAAAGAAGAGTTTCAGTACAAAATGGTCTTAAAACACAAAAGCAATCTTAGTTATAATTAATCTTTCTTTTGTGTATAATTGTAGGGAGGGGAAATTGGTTCAGAACATGTTGATATTTTATTCAGAGGCAGACTTAACTATTTAGGTAACATTATTTTCAGTTATTTCTGAAATATATGTATAATAGATGACAAATAGGAGTTGATATGCTTATTTATGTAGTTTGTGCTTTCGGGCCTATTTTGAAATTTATACAGGTGTAAGTTTTCATGAGGGCACAAACTATTGTTATTTATCAGTATAAATTGATCTTTAGTATTTGCATATGAATGATGCATCTTACCAGAGTTAAATGAGCCATTTTTTTTTATCATCATAGCTTTCATTAATCTGAATTTATTTCTTTAGCAATGAAAGTAGCTGTCAGAGAAATGTCACTTAAATTAGATATGTAGTTTTTGCCTGTACGTATATGTAGATTATCTGAATCATAGCCTCAGGCTTGTTTTTCATTCTCATATTTAAACATCTGTCATTTGCTTAATTTTGTTCTTAAAATAGTTTTATACAGAATTATTCCACATCTTTTATTTACTCAGCCTATGAAATGTTCATATGTATGTGTGAAAAAAAGCAGTGCACTTCTTACATAACAATCCTGTCCTGGATAAGCAGCACATGATGTCTTCCCAACTTTTTCCTATTTTTGCTATTTTATGTATCTTTGCATTATATCCCAGAAAGCTACACATCTGTCTGTTCATTCTAAAAAAGCAACAAGTTACCAGTTTTGCCTTTTATTTCCTACTGTGCATACCTTTACTTTTCTTTTTTTTTTCAGACTCAGAAAGGAAAAGTTCATGGGAGCATAGATGTGGGATTATCGGTTATGTCAATTAAAAAGAAAGCACGTAGAATAGATCTTGACACCGAGGAGCATATCTACCATTTAAAAGTAAGGAGTATTTCTACTGATTTTTATTTTCAAGTTATGCTGAAAAAGGGAAATCAAATACTATTACTGGATTCCTCACTCACACTGATCTTTTAATTAGGTAAAGTCCCAGGATACATTTGATGCTTGGGTGTCAAAGTTGCGCCATCATAGATTATATCGTCAGAACGAGATTGTGCGATCGCCACGGGATGCCAGTTTCCACATATTCCCTTCAACTTCCACCACTGAATCTTCACCAGCTGCTAATGCCACAATGCTGGAAACTAAGGTACAACCTTTTTTTTTTGGTTAGGAAGAATACCATCCTTCAGTTCATACAGAGTTGTTTTATAATATACAACATTGCTAGCCACTCATTTTTTCCCCATTATGGATGCAAATGAAAATGGATGCCGTTATATGTGAGTAACACTAACACCGAAAAGACGAACATACCCAACACTGTATAAATAGTCCTCGACTTACAACAGTTCACTTAGTGATCGTTCCTCATGGTCACGTGATTTACATTCGGATGCTTGACAACTGACTCACATTTATGACGGTTGCAGTGTCCCGGGGTCATGTGATCACCTTTTGGAATCTTCTGACATACAAAGTCAATGGGGAAACCAGATTCACTTAACAACCTTGTTACTAATTTAACAACTGCAGTGACTCACTTAACACATGTGGCAAGAAAAGTCGTCAAATGGGGCAAAACTCACTTAACAAATTCCTCACTTAGCAACATAAATTTTGGGCTGAATTGTGGCCATACGTTGAGGAGTACCTGTACCACATTTACTGAAATATTTGTTATTTAATTTAGACAAGAGTATCTGATACAGTCTATAAAGGGTGAAGATATTGATAAATATTTACAGTCCTCACTTATATACAAGCTTACATTGGACCAACAGAAACTTATGAATCAAGAGATTACTATTGAGGAGATTTCTAACGCCATTAAGCAACTTAAAGTTGGGAAAGCTCCTGGCACAGATGGTTTGACGGCAACTTACTATAAACTATTATCAGATGTAATGTTACAACCTCTAAAAACCTTATTCAACAGAATTATGCTGGGAGAGCAAATTCCACATTCATGGACAACTGCTTTCATTTCCCTAATTCCTAAGGATGATAAAGAAATTTTGGAACTTAAGGATTACAGACCTATTTCTTTGTTGAATGTGGATTATAAAATTTTTGCAAAAGTTTTGGCTAA